CAGATTTTTTTCTCCCAAACTCTCATTTACTATTCTCAGCACACTTAGGATTTACTTTTATATGAATAAAATCTGTTGAACTTTTTATTTTTTATTTCTTTGTGTTCTCAATTTAGTAAGTTCTCTGTTTTAAAAAGCATTCCATTTTCTTGTCTTTTACAAATCTTATGTTTAAAATTCTGTTTTAATCTTTGACTATTTTGATGGTGTGATATAAGGCAGCCTTTCTCAGTTGGGAGAGAGTTAAACTCTAATACCCTAAGGCCTCTGTTGTTTACTGTGAATTCACTTTTTTTCTGTGTGTCTGGGATGGATGGTTCTGGATATGTACTATCCTTGGGAGAATTGAGAAAGTAGTGACTCAAACCATTTTTTTCTCTCTTCTGTGACTGAGGTGAAGAATACTAAGAAAAACTGTTAAAGCTCTAAATGTGTGGTTTTCAGATCTGTTAGCAAATTGCTCACTCCTACATCATAGAATTGTTGTGAGGGTTAAATGACATAATGGACATAAAATATTTTAGCATGGTGTTTGGCATATAGTAAACAAAATAAAATGTGTTAGCTGTTACTAATTTTTCTTAACCACATTTTTCTGATTGCATGTATTTGAGTGTTTTTGTTCCTCAGCTAGTACTAATTTAACCATATAGATGGCATTGTTGAAGCCATATAGACAGCTAACTTGGATTAGCTTTCTAACCTCCTGACCTCTGTTGCTATTCTTGCTTTTATTTTACAGATGGTAGCTTTTTTTCTGACTTATTCATTCTTCCAGATAAATTTTAGAATTGTCAAGTTCTAAGGAGAATTCCAGTGGAATCTTAATTGGAATTAAATTAAACCAATATACATTTAGAAAAAGTGATTGATTGTAATATTTACTTTCCCATCATGGAAGATACTTTTTCTACTTATTCACATTTTTTCTCCCATATTGTTTTATAGAGTTTAATAGTGCTTCTTGACATGAAGCCAATTTATTATTCCTAGACATTTTATATATTTGTCACCATTATGAGTGGCATCGTTTTTTCCCCATTATGTTTTCTAAGTGGTATTGGTGATATTTTGATGTTCTCTAGATTTTTAAAAACACTCTTTAAGAATACCACCTTTTCTCTTTTCAATGTTAATATTTGTTTCATATTTTTCTGCTTGATAGAATTTCTGAAAGAATGCTAAATAACTGATATGTAGCATTTTTATTTTGGTCTTTATTAGGGATGTCCTTCATGTCTTATTTTAAGCATAATGTTGACTATTGGTTTAAAATATACTTCTTTTCAACTCTTCAGAGAATTATTAAAGTAATATATGCTCATTAAAAAAATAAACAGTAAAATATAATAGAATGGTCAATGTATTTGTGATTTTTAAGATTTTTTAAATAAATATTTTGTTGAATTTTTATCATTTTTGAGATAAAATTTAATTTGCTATATAATTTGTTAATGTAATGTGTTATTCTAATAGATATTCTAGCATGAAAACATCTGTGGGACAAATTGTACTTTTTCAGAGTTGATAATC